TTACTTCTAAAATTTGTAAAGTCAGACAATACTCACTAACCACTAATAGCAGGTTATTACATTTTCTTTGCCTTTTTTTTTTTTAATACAATATTGCAAATTAATGTTAGAATATAAAAATTTAAAATTTTTATTGATTAAGGAAATATAGAAAAATGATTAATTAAATCAATGGAAGTAACTACACATGCTAGAGTCTTTTTATAAAAAAAATAAAAATAAAAATGCTAGAGTCATGCACAGTAACACAGCCAAAAGATCCCACATCGGAAGTTTTGCAAGGAAAGCTCTAGGAATGGTGCTTATATCTAAATGTGCCAACAACGCTCATCCATTTTCCTGGGCCTGGCAATGATTAGGTTGGAAGGTCGGTAGTTTATCTTTCACATAAAACTGGATAAATCGGCTAAACCGGTTCTGGGTAGCAGGTTAATGGTTAAACCGGTCAAATGGACGGTTTTTTCCCTGGTTTTGAAACGGACAGGTTTTAAGCATTGACCGGACCAGATTTTGTACCGGTTTGCGGGTTTTTGGTAGAACCGGCCGGTCCGGTCTAGTTTTCAAAGCATTGTACAGTTGTGAAAAATTTGAGTTAAAAATTTTGCATCAGTTACAAGAAATATAAAATAAACCCAATAATCAGTGTTTGTGGTTGATAATTTTACTAATTGATTTGAGAAACATTTACTAACCCAACATGTGTTTTATTTCGTTTTTGTCGTTTTAATGTTTTCTCTTATAATTTTTTTCTTTGTATTGTTATAGAACTGAAACCAAATCAAAAGTCTTTTCTTAGACTATTGGTTGATCAAGGAGACAAAAATTGATGCATTTTTCAAATTGATCCACCAAGCACAAGGAGACTTTATTTTCACTAAAGAGGAAAAAGGCAAAAAGTTTGATTGAAACCGTACTAAATGACATACAAAGTAGAGAAAACTAACGATTCTAATACTATACTCATAACGAAAGATAAAATGTCTGGCACTAGATTTCATATGCTTTGTTTCATCGTTCATGAACCAAGACAGCTTCTGTCACAATCCAGAACCACTTGCTAGATTAAAAGATTAAAACAAGGGGAAAAACAGCCAGCTCGTCTCCTAATGACAGCTTCGGCATAAGATCAGACCGCACGTTGTTTATTATTATTATTATTATTGTTATTATTAATTTTTAATTTAATTTAATTTTATTATATTTTTTGTGGCAGTGAGGATGAATACAAGACACCCTGATGGTAAATGGAGTTCCACCATATATTGCAGAAGTTTTTTCAATGGTTTTACTGATTGAACTGAGATTAATTGCTGTACAAAATATTTTTGGAAGTTTTCTTTGTGATAGTTTCTTAGCTAGTTACAAAAGGGAGTATATGGCTATAAGCTAAAGATGGGAACGTTAGAATTCTTGGACTAATTTGTTGTTTCCCCTTGAACGAAAGCTGCATAATTTCTAGAATTCAGGTAATGGGATGTTATGGTGTACAGACTTAGATGATTAACTTCCCCCATTTGGTTTCATCATTAAGTTGAAAGGAAAGAAGAAGTCAATAAATAAGTACCCAATCAGCATGGAATGAAGATGGATACTGCTAGCAGCTATAGCCTCATTATAATCATTGGTCAATATTTTATAATTCATTATTAATTGGATTTAATTTACTTTAATTTGTTAAATTGAGGACCTTGGATGAAATTTCAGTTACGATTAAAAATAATTTCTTTTGTATTTAATCATCAAAACCAAATTAGTTGGTATTTCTTCTATTTAATTAGATATATTTTGTGTTAATTTAACGTTTGATGTTTTAAGTTTTACTTGCTTGGATTGACATGAAATATTCCAAATGAAATTGGAAACATATCAGAACTTATATGTTTTTGTTTGAGGTGCAGCCGTTTCAATGGTACGTAATTAGATCTCTTAAATTTATTTTATATATTGAATTCAATGTTCTAAAAAGGATTAATTGTGTCTAGACACCAATGCCAAACTTTAAACTTTTACTAGCCTAAATTGGACTAGGCATAAAAAACATAAAGTGTGGTTAGGCGGCAAGGTTCATTTTCGTGCTTAAATCTGCCTTTTAAAATACTGATTAAATCTATTTTAATTTATTTATTTAGTGTCGTCACTAAGATTTATACAAAATTAAAAATTTTCATATATGAAAAAGATTTTTATTGTTGATGGAAAATTAGATTGCCATCGACGAATTTTACACTCTTCTGAAAAATGTTTTTGAGTATGTATGATGTTTTTCAACTAATTATTAGAAATACACTGTAATAACATCATATCCTATGTTCCCAATCAGCTTCGGATGAAGATGGATACTACTAGACCTAATCATAATATCTAGTCAATATTTTAAAATTTATTCATTATTAGTTTTTTTTGTTTTTATATTTGTTAGTTTGAGGACCTAGTATGCAATTTCAGTTAAGCTTAATGATTAGATGCATCTTTGTTAGCTGCGAAGATTTTTCTTTGACGACTTTTGACCGCAAATGNATGCAATTTCAGTTAAGCTTAATGATTAGATGCATCTTTGTTAGCTGCGAAGATTTTTCTTTGACGACTTTTGACCGCAAATGCTTTGTGCAGAATCAACGATTTGTCAGCTAAGATGAATTATTCCATAAATTATTGATTTTCTAAAATTCGTACGCATTTTAAGAATTAGTGTGGTTTTAAATTTATTCTTTATTCTAGTATATTTTTCCTTTTGCTCTTCATCACCGTGTTTACTCAATAGCTTAATAGTCTAAATTAACATTCTGATTTTAATAATATATATTAGAAACACAAATACCTAAATTTAATTTTTTCGATTAAATTTAACTCTTTACAATTTCGGTATTATTATTTGATAATAACTTTTTGAAATTTAAAATATTCGACTCGTAAAATGTATTCAAAGTGCATGTTTAGCTCCATCCAATTCAATTGCTGGTTTTGTTCACTCTTTCATTTGGGGTTAAATTTCAACTTAGTAATTATTTAGGGGGATTACTATGTATTTGTTTTATTTTATTTTAAGGAATTTTTTGGAGATACTCTTTCAAACATCTTCAAAATTTCTTCTCTACTGTCAATATCCATTGGGATAAGTGACAACGAATTTTTATGAAAGTTTGCTAAAGATCCATGCAACAAATTAAGATGCTTGAGTTCTTATACCTTGGGGACATCAAGTTTCGTGGTGAGATACTTCCAATTCTATTGCATTGCCATGAACTTCAAATTATTGTCATATTTGATAATGAATTAAAAAGTACTTAATTATCGACTTCCAAATGAAAATGGAATCTTATCAGCATTTCAAGAATTATGTTTGATAACAATGACTTCACAAGCACTTAATTATCGACTTCTTATTAGTTGGTACTTCTTTCTTTCATTAGATCTATTTCATATGAAAATAAATTTGATGTTTGAAACCTATATGCTTAAATGGTTGACAGGAACTATTCCAAATGAAATTGGAAACCTATCGGCACTTGAATATTTAGATTTAGCGTTCAACTCTTTCAATGGTACGTAACAAGACCTCCTAAACTTATTTTAAATATTAAATCTATTTCAATTCTTATATGTGTCTTAACTAATGTTGATATCAAAACTCTAAATTTAAATGGTATCATGTAACAAACATTTTCATGATGATGGAAAATCTAAATGAACTTTAGGTTACCAATTAGGCATTTTACACTCTTTTGACAAATGTTTTGTTAGCACGTATGGTGTTTTTCAAATGATTATTAAAAGTGCATTGTACTAACATCATATCCTACGTTACATACCCAATCAGCTTGGGATGATGATGGACACCACTAGAGGCTACCCTAGTTATAATATTTAGTCAATATTTTAAAATCTTTTCATTATTAGTAGGATTCGTTTTTTTAATTGTTAGTCTGAGGACCTAGGATGTAATTTTAGTTAATCTTAATGATTAGGTGTATCTTTGTTAGCTACAAAGATAACATTTGTACTGTGGAGTATTTTGATTAAAACATTATAAAAATTGTGAGAGTTTTTCTTTTACAAATTTTTTACCTCAAATGTTTTGTGTGGAATGAACGATTTGTCAACATTATCTGATTACAAACCAACGAATTATTGATCATCTAAATCCACATGCATAGACTGATTGTTGTTTTTTGTTTATTTTTTTAGTATACTGTTCCTTTGATCCTGTATCACCTTGTTTACTAAGTAATTTAGTGTTCTAAATCATTCTAAAATCATTTTTATTTTAATAATAGAGCCACCATATTTGATTTTAATATTTTCGAATTTAATTAAATCTAACACTTTACAATTTCAATATTATTGTTTGATAATTATTTTTTGAAATTTTAAACATTCAAATTTTTTATTTTAATTTTTAATACCATAAAATGTATTCACAGGAAGCATTCCATATGAAATTGGAAACTCATCGGTACTTCAATATTTTTATTTGGATTCAAATATCATAACAGGTACCTATCTACTACTAAATTATTAACTTTTGGTATCCATTAATTGATTGTCTTGACAAATACCTCAATGCAGGTACAATTCCACATTCAATTGGCAGTTTATCAAACTTGAAGGAGTTGTTTCTGTTCAATAACAGTCTTCATGGTTAAATACCTGAATCCATCTTCAATCTCTCCACGTTACAAGTAGTTGCTTTTACTGGCAATAGTATATCCGGCAATCTCCCATCATCAATTGCCAATGGGCTCCCTGATCTCGAAGGTCTCTATCTTGGTGACAATCAATTGAGTGGAAAAATTCCTGCCTCTGTTTCAAATTTTTCTAAGCTTGCTCACTTGGATCTTAGTGACAACTTCTTCAGTGGAAGAGTACCAATTAATCTTGGGAATTTATAGAACCTACAGAATCTAAGATTGGGTAATAATGAGTTGACAAATGATCCTTCAATACTGGAATTGGATTTTCTTATTTCATGGAAAAATTAGAGGATTTTGAAGAAAATATGGATGGGATTCAATTCTTTTCATGGAATATTACCAAAATCCTTTGGTAATTTGTCAATATTTGTTGAATTTTTTGGTGCCAATAATTGTGGTAATAAAGGTATCATTCCAAAAGAAATTGGTAATATGAGCAACTTGATCCAGTTAGATATTGGAGCCAATGAATTTACACGAGCAATCCCTGACACGTTGGGTCAATTAAGAAAATTGCAAAAGCTGAGACTTTGTTTCAATAAACTAGGAGGGTCGGTACGTTTCAACCTTTGCAATTTGGTAAATCTCTATCATCTAGGTTTGAGCAATAATACACTTTCTCAACGGACACCAACTTGTTTAGGAGATCGTACCTCTTTACGATAAATTCATTTAGAAGACAATTCATTGACTTCCGCTATCCCATCCACACTTTGGACTAACAAGGATATTCAGATTTTGAGTTTAGCTTATAATTTGCTGAATGGGTCATTGGCTTCAGAAATTGGAAACATTAAGAGCATGAGAGAGTGAAATTTATTAGGAAATCAATTTTCAAGTGATATTCCAAGCACCATTGGGCAACTTCAGAATTTGGAAAATCTAACATTGTCAAACAATCAGTTACATAGTCATATACCTGAGTCCTTTGGGAATCCGATTTCATTGCAAAATTTGGATCTATCCAAGAAAAATCTCTATGGTGTAATCCCCAAGTCATTGGAGAGACTAGAGAACCTTGAGTATTTCAATGTTTCGTTCAATGAACTCGGTGGCGAAATTCCAAATGGAGGGCCTTTTAAGAATTTCACGTCAGAATTTTTTGTAGGCAATATAGAATTGTGTGGAGCATCTCAATTTAAGGTCAAGCCATGCAAAGATAATAAAACCAGATTATCAAGCAATACCAGATATTTGAAGTACATTTTACCATTAGTTGTTGCATTGAGTTTGGCCATTGTTGTGGTTTATGTAATAAGACGCTATAGAAGAAGTATAGTTCCACTAGCTCACTCTACTTCTCTCATCACCATCAAGAGGATTTCATATTATGACGTTCTAAATGCTATTGATAATTTTGGTGAAGGGAATCTTATTGGCAAAGGTAGTATTGGTTTAGTGTACAAGGGAATATATTCAAATGGAATGATAGCTGCAATTAAAGCTTTCAATCTAGATTTGGAAGGTTCAAACCAATGTTTTGATACTGAGTGCCAAATATTTTGCAACATTCGTCATAGAAATCTNGCTTTCAATCTAGATTTGGAAGGTTCAAACCAATGTTTTGATACTGAGTGCCAAATATTTTGCAACATTCGTCATAGAAATCTTGTCAAGATAATTACTAGTTGCTCTAACCTTGATTTCAAAGCCTTGGTACTGGAATATATGCCTAACGGAAACCTTACAAAATGGCTATTCTCGAGCAACTATTTCCTAAATATATCTCAAAGATTGGAAATAATGATAGATGTGGCATCTGCACTCGAGTATCTACATCATGGGTGTCAATTTCCGATTGTTCATTGTGATTTGAAGCCCAACAACATACTTTTAGATGAAGACAAGGCAGCCCATGTTGGAGAATTTGCCATTTCCAAGCTTTTAACTGAAGACCAGAGAATTTCAATTACCAAGACGTTGGGAATCATTGGATATATGGCTCCAGGTAAATGATTTTGTCAACTACTTATATATATTGCTACACAGTGTGTTGAATTACTATTAAAAATAATTATGGCCCGTGCAATTAATTTTATACTAACATATGCAGCGCGGTTATGTAAATTGAATAAATTACTTTTGCAGCAAATTTAGTTGAAAGAGTTCAAGAACTGTTGTGAATTTATAATCATGACATACATAATAGAAAGATAGTAATTGGTCTAATGCACACAACTAATAATTGGTTTAATACACATGCACACCCATGAATTGTGCAAAAAATAATCATTGGTCCATTGGTGAAAAAAGATAATCACGACTTGAAAAAAAACTCTATGCATGCACATAAAAAAAAATTTACTATATTTTGGAGAGGAATCATACTAACAATGTATTATAAAATAGAGAGAAAGGGAGAAGAAAGTAATGAATTCAACAGACTTTTGTGTATTTTATTGAGAACCGAAATTTTCATATTTATAGAAAAGAATTAGGTAGAGATACAATAATCATAATTAACATGCAAGGGTATAATGTTCATTTACCAATAAACATATAATTTACAACATATATGTAATTAGGATAATTATATATCTACAACAACTTTTATTATTTACACCATATTCTAATTTTACTTATGGTCCTTAATCTTTGCTTAATATAGCATTTATTCTCTAATTTTTTTCAACGAATTTTTATTATTTACCAATAAACATATAATTTACAACATATATGTAATTAAGATAATTATATTTTCACAACAACATTTATTATTTACACTATATTCTAATTTTACTTAAGGTCCTTAGTCTTTGCTTAATTAGTATTTATTCTCACCTTTTTTTTTTTTTTTTTACGAATTTTTATCCTCAACATTTCATTAATTAGTACATATCATCTCTGATAGCGGTTTTTGTCCAATAATTCTTTTGGAGGACGTAAGAAAACTTACTTATCCATTATATTTTTTTATAAAAATAAATACAAAAGTACGATATAATACATTTTTCCTCATTTCAAAAGTGTGTAAACATATATTTTGATATAAATCATCATCAAGGATGAGATGTGTTCCGAGGTGATGGATATTGAAGATAAGAATTAAATAAAAAAGTTAAGAATATAAATGTTATAATGAGAAAATATTGAGGACCTTATCTCCAATTAAAATGTGGATTTAGAAGAAAAAATTTTGGTGTGAATATAATGAGCCATGTTATTAACCATTATTTTGCTTGCTAACAATATATTAGTGTATTAGCGTTGGTTCACATTTATTTATTTGTCATTTATCATTTCGCTTGTTAGTTTGATCACATATGTCAATTTTATGGAGTATGGGTCTCGGGATTAATATCGACTATGGCTGATGTTGATAGCTATGGGATTATGATGATGGAGACATTTACCAAAAAGAAGCCGACATGTGATATGTTTGTTGGAGAGTTCACAATGAGGAAATGGGTGTTCAAATCATTCCCCGATGCAATAATGCAGATAGTGGCTGTTGATCTAGTGAATCCAATCGAAGAAAATATTCAAGCCAAAGAGATCTGCTTTAAATCAATCATGGGGCTAGCACTAGAATGCACGGTTAACTGGCCCAACGAGAGGTTCAATATGAAAGATGTTCTAACAAGGATAGAGAAGATCAAAACTGAATTTTGTAAAGCAAAATACTGAGGTGGATTAAGATGAAGAGGTTTGTTTCATAATTAAATTTACTTTTTCTATCTCGTAAGAACACAAAAAGGATAGTATTTGAGCTAAAATTTTATTAATGAAATCAAAACCAATCTTTAGTTTTAATTCTCGTAGAATCCAGTACATATTGACTACTCTTTAAAACATACTTTAATCATCTCTCATAAGCTTGATATCTTTCTATTACATAAAAACTTGGAAATCATTTTTGGCTTCCGCCATTGTTTTACGGCATGTTATTACTGTGAGTTGTTGCTGTGTAAGAAAATCATGATATCATTACACGGGTGATACTGATGAGTTGATAAGCAGATGTAGCATTTTCTTTTAATTCTAAATTATTATTTTAGTAAAGTTGCAATGCCCTGTTTGATTCTGTTTCTGATGACATTCTATGTTTCTCTGTCAACATTTTCCAATGAAAAACAGTGTGATTCCTGCTGGATAAAAAAACCAACTTTCATCTCTTTCCTCTTTTTTATTTACTATTGCTTGTGAATCAAAGATCTATTGAATCCAATCGAAGAAAATATTCAAGCCAAAGAGATCTGCTTTAAATCAATCATGGGGCTAGCACTAGAATGCACGGTTAACTATTGCTTGCGAATCAAAGATCTAACAGGGCCTTAATTCAGTAAGACAAATGCCAAAAATCGCACACAATCAAATTAATGACCAAATAATTCAGAAAATCAGAATTTATATTGAATTATCGATGATAAATAAATTATGTTTCTTCATTTCTTGATTTGTGGAGGCCTCAAGCTCTCCACAAAGGGAGACATTCCCACCGCGAGACATGTTTATATTGGTATTTTCTGTTGGAAAAATTTTCGAATCTTTAATAATTTTGTTCCATAAGGATTTTGGAATTTTCATGTTGATTTAGTTATGTCTTCTAAATGAGAAACTCTAGAAATTCACTAATCATAATGATGCTATGTGAACGAAATAATAAATGCACCAACAAATTGAATCACATATAATTTCCTGTTGATTAGTGAGAATATCAATTAAGATAAACAAGGAAGACTACTTGATTTAAAGAAAAACAAAAAAATGTACAGAAATTGAGACAATAGCCGCATATTCATTATCTTTTGCTCTGTCTAAAGGCATTCTTGTACAACCTTAAATTAGTAAGGGCATTTCTGGCTTCTAATTGTGTCTGTACTTTGGAGTACTTTTAAATATAGCTTTGTCAAACCAACCATTTTCCATTTTAACCATAAAAATCTAACATTCACCACAATAGCCATTTCCTGTGTAAAAGACTAAAACGCCCTTAAATGAGTTATATAATTACAAAAATAGAAATATGGTAAAAAGACAAAAATATCCTTAAGTTACAAATAAAAATCCAAACAAGGCTCAATTGAAATTTGAAAACGAAGTCAGTCTTTTCATCAGTTTACTCTAACACGATAAAAACTCTTCCATTTTTCATCCACTTCAACCTCAAAATTTCATAAACTTATCAGTTATCAACCTCAACAGAAAAATTTAGTTAAATTTCAGCACTTCAATTCGGTAAGTATCTTTTCGTAGTATTTAATTTTATTTTTATTGAAATCGTATATTTTTTTTAAATGGTAGAAAAAATAATATTAGAGTCAAAGTTCAGGCCGGCATCGATCAGACGTCGGAACGACGGATTTAACGACGGTCCGGACGGTCCGGATTCCGTTTGCAGACTCCCCCGCCCCTCGATTCTGATAATTTTTTTCTGATAATTTATTCTGACATTTTTAATTCGTAATGCAGATATGGCAAAAGCGTGTGTCCCAATCTGTTATTTCGGCGAATTTCAAAGGAAGGAAAATGGTTAATGGGAATGGAAATGGACGAGTGAAGGATAAGGGGTTGCTGCTATTACGATAACAAAAAATACTTCGTTTACAGAAATGTACAGTGAAATACAAAACATGCTTAACGTCGAT